TTTTTATATAAAATAGAAAAATTATATATAAGTAAATAAAACCAGGTCATTACTGCATGCAAAAGAAGAAGAATCAGTGTCGGATTTGCTCCAGCGCTTGGCGAGTCTCCACCAGCTCTTGGGACAGTCTCAGCAGAGCGAGGTTGCTGGCCCTCTTTCCCCCTCTTCTTAACAAAACGAAGTTGCTACATGCAGACATGGAGTTTCATGATGCTTCAAACAGCATCAGCAAACAGGGGCCTCAAGAAAGTCCGGCTGACATACAAGTAAGACACCAGGAATGAGGATTTTACTGTTCCTGGAAATGCAGACTCTGTGTATATTGAATGTTTGCTTGATTTTTTTCAAGAGGAAACGTAACAAAAAAGTTACCTGAGGAGTTCAGGGCAAAAAATGAGACCCTAAACAAAGGAGCTGGCAGTGCTCAGTGTGGTTTCTGTGCAATCAAGCCTGATTAAACGAGAATACAAACACAACTTGTTTTGAAGACTTGACTCAGGCGACGAGAGACTCTAAATACATTTCAGCTATTGGGCACACCAGGATAAATTTCTCTCCCATGGAAAGCTGTGGGTATCAAATGGGTTACAAGCAGAAGCATCTCATTTTGTGATTTGTTTCTACTGGAGCGAAGCATTGCTTTCTGCTGCTGAAAGACCTATTTACCTATTTATTAAATTTCATTCAATAATGTTTCTTTGGGGCAAGCCTTTTCTCTGTCTTCTCTGCCGGATCATATTGAACAGGAGTAGCAATAAGGAAGGTAAACCCACTAAAATAAAAGTGTACATAGACAGGCGAAGGGAGAATAGGAGCTAGTCTGAGAGATTCAATATTGCTAAGCACGATGTGATACAGACAAGGCTCTGTAACAGAGAGAAATTTGGGAATAATGTTTCTAACCTCTTGTGAAATGATTTTCACAACAGTTTAAACAAATAAATAAGGAAACATGAAAGAAAACTACAAGGAATGGTTATTTCTACCCTGTCAGCTTTGGAAGAGGCATCTGTGAAATGCTAGAGGAGGTGCAATCTAAAACATAGCAGAATGAAAAAGCGCTACAGAGTTAGCAGGGATTGAAATAGGTAAGATCAGTAACTAAACTTACAGGGACAAGACCACACAGGACTTTGGCAGGTTTAATTAGCTCAAAAGATGGATTAATACTGATGAAACACCTTGCTTACTTTTTGCTTTGCAGTAAACTAGATGAAAATTACTGTACAGTCGGAAAATATCAAGAGAAGTTAAAAGTAGTTACATCTGTTTGCCATGTAGAAGTTCTGTCTCGCCTTAGAACATGTGGGAAGCACGAGAGCATCAAGATTAGTGACAATCTTCCAAAAGATTAAAAGCCACAGCAGCATTAATAATAGATGCCGAAAGATTGATTATACTCAAAATCATTTTAAGGAATAGAACCTTAACATTTGTAATAGTTCATCGTCATCTCAAAGCAAAACGCGAAATACTCTGTTACATCTCAAAGTACTCTTGTTACACCTCGCTATACTATATCTGGTTTTGCAATGCAATCTAGATATGAGATGTGAAAGGAACAGCGAGCGTTGAGCAACGATTAAACATTAACTGGACATTAATAGCCCCAGATAACACATGATACCTAGGTATGATTAAAACCAGGTATAACTTCATGAGAATCATGTTAAGAACTGCCGTACGCATCCTTTAGCGTATTTAACAGGCTATCTCCTGCGCTGATGAAGTTGAAGGAGCTTCGCCATCAGTTCCTCCGGCAGCAGGACCGGCACTGCTCGGAGCAAGGCTTCGCTCCTCACCTCCGGGTGGGAAGGGGGAGGACGGGGCACACGTACCTGGCAGGATGAGGATGTCCACGAGAGGCTTGCAGTGATAGAGACCTGTCGCCATGACGCAGTCTGCCCACAGCCCCTTGGACCCCAGCTCATCCATTTTCCTGCAGGTGGTAATGGTGTAGCCACAAGTCACCACCCAGTCGTTGGTGGCCGTTGCCACAACCACCCCGATCCACCCTATAAAACTGCAGACAAATCCGGCCAGGTGCAGGCAGGTGGCCACCATGTCGATCCCTTGGTGGGGCACGCTGGACGGGAGAGCGCCCACAGGGGTTCAGCAAAGCCGGCCGGGAGCTCCCCGCTGCGGATCCAGGCTGCTGGGACCTACCGCGAGCTGCGAGCAGGAGGGACGGGGCTTTGGTAGGACGAGGTCCCTGATCAGGCGCTGCTGCAGGCACTCGGCTGCCTCTGCCCAGCTCCCTCCCTGGGAGGGGTCAGAGCTGCCTCCAGCTCCATAACGCATGGGAGGAGCGAGCGGGGAGCCCCAACTTCTGCCAGTTCCTCAGGAGAGTCGGAGGGGAAGGAGGGCGTGGAGAGGAGGAGATGCAGAATTGCACCCACCCGCGCTTGAAAAACAAACCGGGCTGCTTTATTCAAACACAAACAGCCTGACTATTCAAAATTTAGCATCAAGGGAGAAAAATCAAGGCAGTGTTTTCGAGCTGAAGGCAAATGATCACACTGGTACCTCTTCATGGAACGACAGGGCAAGAAACGTGGTGGACAGAGTTACTCAAGAGGTGGAATTTTCATCCCACCAAAGCCATCAGCACGGCTGCAGTAAAAGGACAAAATCAGTCTTGGGTTTTTCCTGATGTTTTCAGTAACTGCAAAAACATGAGAGACCCATCACCGCATTCTCTGCTTGTGCCTGGGTATTCAGAAGTACTAACTAACACTCACAGGGTCTTAAAGATGTGTTTATCAGCACTTTATTTCCACTTTGGAATGCTAAAATTAAAATGAGCGGCTTTTTACTCAGACTCATTATGGGCGTAAATTTTTGTCTACTTGATAGAACAAGGAACAGCCCACTCCAAAATGTCAAAAGAAGAAAAAACTTCACAGCCCATTCTGCATCAGGAGAAATAGGCAGGCGGGATATTTTCCTAATTTTACTTTGTATTTTCACAAAGACAGATATATGTGTTATCGGGTGCCAACACATCCCTAATGAAATTTTATCATTGTGCGGCCGCCAGTGCTTTTAATTTTGCAAAGGGAAGGTTTGGATCTAGGCAGATAAAACGTGCCTGGAGAGACCACTAGCGGAGAGCCGTCCGCATTGCACGGGGAAGGGAAAACCGGACGAGAAAATGACAGAACAATGAATTTGATTCATTCCTAGAGCTGTTCGCGAAAAAGAAATATGGGAAGCTACACTCCAAGATTAACGTGCGGGGAATGAAAATATATCCTGCCCTTCATCCAACAGTATTTTTTCCCGTTCTTTAGCAAATGAAGTGAAAAACATGAACGAGACCACCCCAAGCTTCATTTGTGACACGTTCCTTAGATTCAAAATTTCAGGACATGAGGCCACGGTTTTGTTTTGTCAAAGCTTCATCTGAACACTGGAGTTACTACCTAAATAACTGAAAATTACTTTTGAAGAGGAGCTTTTATAATAAATAGAAACCTAATAATTGTGTTCACATTTGGTTTATATTGTCGGTTACCCCGTGGTTTTTTGCTGTCGTGAAGCTGTGGTGCCAGCTGGCCTTCCCTTGACTTTCCGGATGCGATTCCACCTTTCTGCGTGGCTCATTCTTCTACTGCACCCACTTCAGGTGCAGCACGCTGTTACTTACATCCAACCACCCTTTTCACGTTGTCTAGGCTTCAGTTCTAGATGGATTTAATCATTCCCCACACAATATTCCTGCTTATTTATTACTCAGGTGATAAACTTGTCATCTCTCGAGTGAAACTAGTGTTGTTCCATCGGACAGATCACACGTCACCTCCTGAATTTGGAAGGAGACAAGCTGACAGATGAACACGTTCCTGCCTCTCCCCTTCACTGACTCAGTTTGCAATTTTCAGTCTAGCATTTCCTCAATCTAACTTTACAGCATTCTGTAAATTAAACATCTGATCTGTTTGTATCACCTAGAAATGCACATAGCTTAATACCGCTTTTTGATTAATGCCAGGCATGAGGATACTTAACCGCTTTGGGATGATTGATCCCACCCTCTGTCATCCAACGATACTGTCACCACGCAGCCCTTCGGAGGTTAGAAACCATGCATTTTACCTGAATCATGCTAATACTTAGATTTCTAATATACTTTGAAGTATTTCATTTTTCTTTAAAATACCAGAAAAGTTCGCAACATCTTGATATCTCATTTCATCCCAAGGCTGAGATTAGAAGCGCTTTACATGGTGACAGTGCACGCACACCCTAATGCACAAACCCCGATGTTTTTAAATGCTGCAGCATACAAATTGGAAGGCTGTGGACACTTCCTACTGCAATTCAGTCTCCTACAGTTACGAGACCAACTCCATAACCACAAAAGCTTCTTGCGCTGCCACGTCTTCCTTCACAAATGCTTCACACTTCAAAGAATGCGCAGCAGCTCAACTGGCAAGAAGTGAATTTTACACTTCAGTAACTAGTACTGTTCAACAGTACTCGATCTGGTGCCCATCGGGCACAGCTGAATGTCTTCATTAAAGTCAAAAGGGACAAGAAATATTTACTATTTTGTTACTATTATAAATAACGCTACCAATATTTAAGTGAATCTAAGGTAGTATGCTACAAGTGAACAATGATTCGCTAGACCAATAAAATAAGTAACCAAGAAGAATGACTTGCCAGCGATATGCTAAATAAACTGACACACGTAGGGCAATATTCTTAAAATTTGCCAGTTTTAAACCAAGTGCTACACACGCATTTATTTCAGCCACAGTGTGAATACCTTAAAAATCAATCCTTTTACCCTGTCACTCAAGCAGTTTTTCCTTGATCAGCATTGTTTTCTCCGACAAACTACATGTGTTGCAATTACTCATGCTTACACAAGTTATCAACACCCTATGACTTTTTCTCGTACAAATGACTCACCTTCAACTTTTTCTTTGCAGGGTTTTCAGCCTGATAGCTTCTCCCTTGCTTGGAAATACAGCAGTATAAAAATATAACATGGAATACAGAAATAAACAGGGTTAACTCTTGAAGTGGTACAGCTAGTTGTTCATTTTCTTCCATACTAACAGCCGAGCTCATTAAAATATTACCAATTATATCTTCATCCTGGTCAATACTGCTCATTTCTCTCTTCAGCTGTAAAATACAGGCAAGTACGTGGTAGCATTAAGGGTTTGCAATAATCTGAAACAATCAAGAATTCCTATATGCAAGACCAGTACCTTAAAACAAGGACAAAGCATTTTTGCTCCAAGGGGAAGGAAATCTGAGTGTGTGTATGGGACCGCGTTTGCTTATCTGTCAAAAAACCTCAAACCCTCACTATGAATAAAATCACCTAGAAAATCTCCAAAATACTATTTGTAGTAAAAGAAAAAAAAAATGTTAAGGAAGCTAACCACGTGATTTACAGAAACTAAGAACTCCCGAGAGTCACTGTAGGGCATATTTTCCATCAGCAAATAAAGTATAATTCTCATTTCTGATTTTAACTTTTCATAAATCCCAGCATTTTATATGGTGATGTGGGATTTTTCTCTTGTTCATTACCAAGCTGCTAAGGAGAGGTGTGAACAACTCAAACACTGCTCAAGCAGTCAACTAAGCAACAAAAGCTGTGCACCAGAGAACATGCCAAATACACGAGTGGTTGTATTTACACGTATAAACACCAACTTTATGTCAAGATACATAGAAATCTTAGTGTCAATAATACCTTCACAGAGCCGTAAGAGGTTTAGAAAATGGACTCGTGGTGAGGGAGGGCTATTGATCTTGTAGATTTTGCTAAAAATGCCCTTTAGAAAACTGGGGACCTGCTGCAGGACATCCCTGCAGGGAGTTTTAATTTACTGTAATCAAAGCAAGGAAGACTCCGTCCTCCCTGGAAAAGCACCGCTGTTAAACATCTTTCAAAAAGTCCAGTTCAGGCATCAGTGTTCAAAAATATTACAAAGACAAGTATTCTGACATTACAGTTCTTTATTTGTTTTTGAATCCACAATCTATACAGGTATTTACAAGGCATGAAAATGGATAACAGCACAAAATACAATTGAGGTATAAGCTAAGAGCACAGTATGTCATGTTTCAATAAATATAATTCAAAATTTGTAAACTAAGTGACCAGATAGATGCATCTTGTTTACTAAAACCATATAAAATATCTGTTAAATCTCACGTGAGGTAGAGGACAGTTTTGTGTGTCATGTAATGCAACCACAGCAACTCTAAGACTGTACATCATTGGCAAAGTATTAAAAATTGTTGAATGCACTGATCATTTTTCACAGGCTTCTACTACGGTTTCAGAATAGTCATTCAACCTGTTGCCTTGAGCTCACACAGACTCTGCTGGTTTGCAGCTACTTTCTGTAATTTATTAAGATAATTATACTGGCATGTCAACATGAATAAATACTTTTGAGAGTGAGTATGAAAACACAAAAACAGGTTTTGTCAATCACAGAAAGCAACATAATAGCAACAAAATATTTTAGACCAACTTTTTATTATTTCCTAGAATTAGTTTAAATACAGTACAACTGTGCTTTCCTTTAAGTGAGGTATCTATATTTGAAGAAAAAAAATTCAATTGATACTGTTAATCAATTTTCAAATAGCAAAATTTTATACCATTTGTTTGCTGTGCTTGATGAAGTGCTTAAAACTCGTTTTTCAAGCATTTTTCAACTGAACCACTAACCCTGAACCCCCCCCCACAATTTTCTAAGAAATGGAGACACACTACAAAATTGTCGTGTAATTTGTAAGCAATAGCTGCTTTCACAAAAGCTAAGAAATGGAGCTGTTTGAAATAGAAATATGCAACAAATAGAAAATTCTACAAGCTTTCCGTAATGAAAACTGATAAATACTTGCACTACAAATGCAATGAGCAAAAAGAAAATTGAAATTTGCAGCTTTCTGCTGCTTCCTAGTGACAGCTTAAATAAAATTACTGAAATATTGCAAGCACAGATTAACAGGTAGCTGTAATTACGTCTTTTGCTGACTTCACTATGTTATAGAAAATTCTGTTCTGTGGATTAATTACACGAATTAAGTGCAGAAAAAATACAAAGTTGTTATCTTTACTGACAATCAAAATATATACTCTACAAACAAATGAATTCTAGGAAGCTGACCATGACAGCATTTCAAGGCCACCTTCACGACTAATGCTAGGAAAGTTTTCCAAAAATTTCATAACACATTCTAGCTATCCCCTCCCCTGATATAAAACAAGAATGTATGAATAAAACGTTGTGACTTCTAAAATATGGGCCTTATTTTTTCAGGCCACCAGTAGCTTTATGCTCCCACTCAACTTTTCCTACTTCACTAATTGCATTATGCCTTTACTATATACAAATGATTTTACACCTAAGCTATTAATATATTAAATATAGAATAAAATTAGTTTAAGAATGTGAAACATAACTACATTTATCTAAATACCCAAGCTAAACGATATGCTTTACAAAAACTAAAACACAGACTTAGTTAAGTTTGGAGATTTAGATAAAAATCTCTTTCGTCTAGGGATACATGGCTACACTGTGAACGAGGGTGCTTTCAGACTGCCAAAATTACAAGAGTTTTACTCTCTAAGCTCATCTATTTTCTTGTTCATTAGAGTACACAAAGTATGTGAAAGTTCTCTTTTAAAAAAGCACAGGAGCGAACTAGATATTCATCTTGAATCCTACTTACTTTGTAGGCACACTAGGCAACTTTGATCTTGGTCTAGGTGTTCAATAATGCAACTTTCAAAATTACGGACAATTTTAGGATTTTTTCCTAAAGGCTTCATGTCACAACTACTCGGGAAAATGACGTCCTGCCTCAGATCAGCAGATCAGCAAGCAGTAACTGAAGGCAAAACAAATAATAATACATAAAATGAGCATGCTACGACTAAAAGCAAGGACCTAATGACGGAATTAGTTTCTACCGTTAAGTGTGCACTTAAGTGAGGGCCCTTAAGTGTGCATTCCAAGTTCCTATATTAGGCTGTAAAATAAACCATTCGATATAACTAGTATAAGGTAGTGAAAAGAGGTCAACATAGATTTGTTCTAGAACTTACACAGTATTATTTACAATTTACTAAAAAACTATCTTTCAAAGACTGTGAGCACACAAAATCTATGGCACATTTATGTATACATTATTACTTAAAATCAGTAAAAAATTAAGTCTACACATAGGAAAATTATTTATGTTATGTAAAGAGCCTGAAAGTAATATTTAAGAATTTTAAGAGGATTACAATAATTTAAAATGCATTCTAACCTTAGATTAACTAAATGGAATATTTACAAAGCTACTTTTAAAGTCATTTTAATAAATGTTCCATTAGCTTTTTCAGCCAGACGTTTTAAAACAATTAGGAGGCCTTATCTGCAGCTGGGATTGCCAAAACTTCATATAGCTGCTTGAGTTCTTGCAACAGTGAAAATATTAGTGCAAACTGCGGCCACCAGCATGTCAATAGTCTACAGCATAAGCCCGTTAAGAGCTGGTTGAGAGATGGCTGAAGTGCTGGCTGAGGCACAGGAACCCGGGCTGTACCAGTACTCCGCTGCAATTGCCACTGCTGAAGGTCACCCGGCGGCAAAAGGGGAAATTTGAGCAGAAGTCACATAACATAGACAAGACCCGAATGAAAACGGAATATACAGTATTCTAATATAATAATCCCATGAGGATTCCATACATTCAACGGCTAAGCTATAAATACTGTGGTAAATTAGTTACTGCAGCTGTATTAAATGAGTCTGTATGGCCTTATCTACACTGACAATCGAACAAGTCTGGTTCAAAACACTGATACTGAAAAGCAACTAGAAACGGTATCTTTTGATCCTCTGATAACACCCCAATGAAACCTTTCAGTTTCAGGATGGTGTTTTCTTACTTGCCCATCTAACTAATCCAGCGTAGGTTCTGCCAATCAAGTTGGACTACTTCAAGCTCCGGTGTCTAAGAATCACACTTTTACCAACATTCCTGCCTACTCTCCCTACAGCCACGTTTTTGGTGGTTGTTACAATAACACATTCATTGTGTTTTTAAAGCAAGTGGTGCATACACAGCCCGAAACATTTATACTCAACACCTTTCCTCCCAAACCATCACTACACTGCAGAGAAAGGCTTTTTTCTTTTCTTTTTTCTTTAAAGCAATCATTTGGAGATGGAGTTCAAGAAGGGAAAAACGTAACCCGGGTCCTCTTTTCTCATCAACACTGACAAAAAAAATTGTTTGATAATTTTTCATCTAAACTGCTTTAATTGTCAGTGTAAATATGACACAGAGTCCATAACCAAAATTACACACAGCTATAAAAGAATCATCCTATGACTCCATGACATTTAATCTACCGCCTCATTTCTCATTCAATTTAAAGATATGTGCAATTTTATCTTTCCCTGTGACATTCAGTCCTGTTATACCACTAAAAGAGAAACAAAAAAAGAACTCAGAAGTTTTCGGTTTCGGGGGGTGGGGTGGGATCAATGTAGGCTTTTACTAGTGGTTTCATCCAGAATTAATTGAATTATTAAGAGACTAATAAACCTAAGCAGCTCAAAACCAGAAGCTAAAGCACAGGTTAAAATTATGTAGTGAAATACTAGAACTACTGAAATATTCCTAGTCACTGACGTAACCAGCTAACATCTGTCAGCTGTACCAAACTTTTTAGAGAGAAGTGCAAAAAAGTATTTCTTCATCCAACTTTGTAGTCATGCGTTTAACCCACTGGGAACCAGACTTCTTAAGTACTCAAACATTATATATACATAAAACAGTAATTCTGTACAATTACACATTTTCAAATGTTATAGCTTAACAAACATGCTGTATTTCTTAATTCATGGTAACATTACCATGCCATTCAAATACAGAGACTATCAAAATGATTTTCAAAGTGCCATATCTCAGAACTTTATTTTTTAAGCTATTATCGCAATGTCAGTTAAGGCCTGTTCTATGTAATGAAAGAAAAATCCACAAGTTGGCAAGAAGCTCAAAGTGTGGAGGCTTAGGGTCCTAAAGAAACTAATACATATTTTTTAATAAATATTATTTTTCTTGAAAGTGTTAGTATCTGAAAACCAGTTAAGTCAAGCTTTCTCGGTTTCTAGAAGGAAAAGCCCCACCTTTAAGTCTGTTATTAATGTTTCTTTCATACCTACTACATAGAAGAAAACAAAAGAAAATACGTGAATTTTTAATTTCAAAAGATTCCACTGTAATTGTAAATTTTTTAATTTACCAAAAAACCTTCATGTTTTCTTCTTCCAGTGTGGCAAGCAAATGCTGGCTCTAAAACTCTTTAGCTTGATAATGAGTTGTTAAATAGAAAAATACTGAAAAGATCAGCTTGACTTCATACAATGAAATTATGGGAAAAATTCATGCTGGTAAATCACTTTTGCTGATCAATCACCTATCATCATGGTGATTTTAAGTTACAGATGAAAAGCTGCCTTTACTTTCCCCAGATTGAGAACACATAATTCTCACCAAAACCCAAACTATTTTTGACCTTGAAGAATTCAGAATGTTTTTAATGTACTTTTATAACTGGATATGCAATTGATGGCAAAATAAAGATCACCACATATATTTTAACAGACAATGTTAAAAGGTATAGACTCCTCAAGACTGCATTAGAAATAAACAGAAACTGTTCACTCTAAATCAAGAGTTTCATATTTTTCATCGTTTGAGAAAAACACCAGTACAAATAAATGCAGATTTTCATTGGTTAGGAAAATCTAAAAATGTATACCTATCTATCTCTATGTATTTATATATGTGTATATCTTCATCTGGCCTTGTCTGGGAAATAGAAATCCATAGAGAACACTTTCTTCTTATCACAGAGAAACTGCTCACAATTCATTAAAAACCAAAACACCCTGTTTGAAGGACGCAGTCATGCTTCCTCTTCCAATTTCTACTTTCCTTTTCCATTTTTCGAAGATTTCAAGATCTGTAGCTTCAGTTCCTTTATCATCATCTCTAACTTTTCCCTTGCCTCTCGTTCTTGTCTCAGCTCATCTTGAAGCTCCTGTCTATCTGCCTCTGCATGATCCAATCTCTGTCTCAATTCTGCTAGCTGTAAAATAGAAAGACAAAGAGGCAGAGCAAATTTTAGCAAACTTATTTGTCAATGTCAACTACTCATTTCAAGATGCTACTGATGACCACTATATGCATCAGATAAAAATATTTCTGTTCACCAGTATTTATCAGCTCATCTTCCACAATTATCAAGAGTAATGCAGTTACCTACTACACCACTAGCAAATGACATCAATATGGCAAGTTGCATAAAAATCACAGTACCATTAAAAAATGGAAAAGTCTAATTTTTAAATACATATAAATTGTAGTTATATGAACTGTCACACTAGACCGTGTCAATATGCATTTAATCTGTTAGGAAGATTGTGATGATGTCTGCATCAGATGTTTCACAGATCCCAGAATAAATAGCACTTTTCCATTTCCCAGGTTCCTTTCTCTTACCTGAAAAAATAGTACTTCTTTGTTTCAAAGCCTTAATGGATTTCTAGAACAAACAAAACCATCAAGACTATTTTCTGATACCTTTTAGCATAAATGAAACAGAATTACCAGAAATAAGATTCAGAAAATCTTGAACATAACTGCCTGTGCATTTATGTGTGTGTTCAAATATAAACATGAGTCCACCCAATTTCTTTTGTGAAACATTTTGTGTTTAAACACAGAAATTTTTTTTTTTTTCATCTTTAGAGTACAGTAAACCTCAAACTTGCTAGAGTGTCATCAGAACTTATTTACAGTGAGATCTGGAAACGTCTGATGAATTTTTCAAGTGTTGGAAAGTTACTGTCAAATTGCTTATAGGTATACTACCAGCAGTTAAAAAAGGGGGGAGACTGGAAACCAGTTATCTTCTCTACCATTGACTTAAGGGGTTATTTCTTACAAAAAGACCTCAGTGAATCTAAAAAATCCATCTGCCTTTATGATGATAGGTATCTATCTGATCTAAATCATCACTAAGCACACATCTCACTGAAAGTGAGGAAGACAGCTCACGAGAATGAAAGAAGCAGGAGCATACAGCATCATAGGTGTTCACCAATTGCTATAAAATGTACTGGGCAAAGGAACTGCTGTGCTGGTTTCAGGGAAACACCACATTCAGTGGACTTTCATCTCCGCTTGTATAACTGGAAATATTTAAACGGTTCTTAGTACAATCAAAAATATTTAAGCAGTTCTTAGACAGAAATAGGCTATTAATGCAAGTCTTCTGACACCACTATTTTGATTAAGTAAACTGTTGCAGTACGATAATGCCCACTGCCTGCATGTTACAGCACTTGCTACATAAGCACGCCTCTGGGAGAGTTTTGACTTCCAGCTCTAAGGAAAGGTTCCAGTACTGCTTGTACTGCCCTACTGTGACTGACAGGGTAAAGCAACAATCAAACTCAACAATTCAATAAAGAAGTCAAAAAGGGGGAGAAGACACCTCATGCATCTTCAGGCAGGCCTAAAAAGAAGAACAGACATTTAAACAAGTCCCAGATCCCAAATTATTAATCTTGTTTAACTGTTCAAAGAGGGTTCCTTCCAGTCCACAGCTCTCAGAGAGGAAGGGCGGCCTAGGCAACTGCTTCAAGAAGACATCGGATTAAGGCTTTTCTGAAATGCTGTATGCACAGCTTGGGGAAGTTATCTGTTGCCAGGACCTCTGTTTAACTCGGGTACTTCTGACAACTGCTTGGAACCTAGGGTCCAAAATCTATTATAAGATGTGATAAATGGAGAAAAAGGTTCAAACCGTATGTTGTGAATAGCTCTACCACACAGGTAGTAACAGAGGTTCCTTTCATGCAAGGAACGTATTTAGCTTTCAAAGTCTAACTTCAAACGAAACAATCAACCAATCTCCTTGGGGAACAACCTATGCTTTTTAGCCTCTAAAGAAAGTAAGCTACAGAAGCCATATAAAACATGCTATACATGATTATCTTCATAAATTAGAACATGTTGTTACTTGCAGTAATAGGGCTTGCACCACATGTTTAGTAAATCAGGCCTTAGTCAGAGGATTATTTCTGGCAGCAAAGGCTAGGAATCTGTGGAGTGGGATGTCATGAAATTAAATTCATGAGAAGGATTTACGATGCTAGTCTCTGCCCTACTCCCCCAAAATACCAAAACCTGTCTCTCAAGTACTGCCTGTTTCTTTGTTTGAGACGGTAAGAACAGGAAATATACACAGCTACAATCAAACGACCACAAAGCTTTACCCAACTTAAGTTTTAGATTTTGGTTACTTTAAAAAAAACTGTGAAGACTTGCTTTCTGTGACACAGTACAAAATACATCACAATCATAACTGCAACTGATTTTGAAAAGAGGCATTCCAAGGCTCCCTTTGGCATTAACTATATTTTCCCCACTGGAATGACATGAATAACCTCCAACATAAAGAAGCAGTAGTAGAAGTTAAAAGGAAAGTGAAAGAAAAAAAAAAAATCTCCACAGGTTTTGACAGATGAACAGAAGGCAGGAACGAGAGACAAAAATATGATTTTCATTTCCAAAAGAACTCTTGACCAAATGCTTTGATAAAGCACAGAAGGAGGCTCGTCAGATAGTGCAGAAGATTCTACCACCAAGGAACAGAAAGAGCAGCTATTGATCTGACAAAAAGGTGGTTGAGAGCTTTGGATTTTTTTTTTTTTTAACATAAAAGGAAGAAAAAGAGGAATAGCCTATTTCTGTAACTAAAATGAGAATGTTTAATTCTACAACATGGGCAAGCCTATATACGTTAAAAACACTATTTGTATTAAATGAGGATGTAACAGACCTTATGTTCAAGATTAATATTTCATCAATATCATCATATGTTTCTCTAAGTTGCATTCTACCTCAGTTTCAATCAAGGAACAGGAAAATAAACATTCCTGTCACTGTGACCTATCTTGGTATTTGTCTATGGTATCAGAACACAGAGAGAAGGTGAAACCTTAGGGTGGCTGCGCAATAGCTTCCCGATTTCCTGATACACTAAATACAGTTTGGTCTGAAACAAACTTTCCCTTCTCACCTGTGCTGCATATTCAGCTTCTTTGTCCTTTTCTAAATTGGAGTCACAGCTACACTTTTGCTTCATCACTTGGTCCAGTTTCTTCTCCAAGTCTCTCTGCTCAAAATAAAATTCTTCCATTCTTTGAGCATGCTCTGTTTGCAAACATTCAAGTTCTTTTTGTAAATTCTGCTGCTCTTCAGTTAGCTCCTTCATAGCTTTAGAGTTGCTTAACATTTCCACTTCCTGTCAAGAAAAATCAGGGTCACATACACCTCGGTTCTAAGACCAGAAAAACTGAATTTAAATGTGTATCTGGAAACAATGAGGCCAAAAAGAGCACATCTATCTACTGATAACAATAGCCTGATAATGGTATTTATCAACTTATCAATGACAGCCTGGAATTCTGTAGCAAGCATTTCATTTTTAAGAAACTATTTATACTTCCAAGTACATGAAGCTTCCAGAAACAGATTCACAACTTCCAGCACTGAACCTCAGAAGGCAGCAGCACTGACTTACTAAAATATACTTTGAAGATGTAAGAAGTGCATCGTCAGAAAACAGAATAAATGGGCTTGATTTCTTTTTCCACTAACATTTCGATATTTTTTGAAGTCTTACCTTTTTTTTTTAACTTATCTACAAACTTTACCTCCAACAGCAGAACACCTTAAAAGTAGCTGCTCTAGGGCCCTATCTGAGCTCATAGATTCTGAGCTTAACATTAAATAAACTAAACTAAACTAAGATATTGGGTCTGGTCTATGAATGTAAGAAGCAAAGACAGTATTTACCTTAATTCAGAAAACAGAAATGAGGCAAAATCACAAGTGAACACCAACTTCTAATGTCATCCATTATTAAAAAAAGACTAACAAAATCCCCCTAAAAACAAGGGCTTATCAAATAGAAATAGGAAGGTGGTATTCTTTTTTATACAGGACAGTGATAAGACCGTTTCTAGAATATTGATGTCTGCCTCTTTAAAGTCCTGAAAACTGAGAAATTTTAGAGGACTTAAACTGTATTTGCCAAAACACTTCAATGTTTGGAAAACATTTCAAAGTGAAAGTAGTTTTCATTTGGATAAAATAAAAGAAGGAGCTGCTTGAACACAGTAGTTGCAAACTGAAAAGACACCGATTCTCAGTGGACTTGAACCTAATGAGCATAAGGAATATTAAAGATTTGGTGTCTGGATGCAAGCTGGGGGGAAAATTATTTGTGTGGTGTTTCTAAATGAATGTAATCTGTGATATTGGTTCCAAAACCAACAAGCTAACACATTTTCTGATGTCAAAAGTGAAATGCACTCAGACTGGCACTGTACCATTTGAAGCTGCTGTTTCCTCCGCAAAATAGTATTTAGTTTTTCTTGCTGTTTGATATAGGTTTTCATTACTTCTTCCATGATCCTTCCCTTGTCATCTTCACAACTGATGTCCTTCATGAGTGTGGGGGACAAGGTTCGCACATCATTACCTACTTCAACACGGCTAGAGTCTCTAGTGATTTTGGAAGAAACACGTTCAAATTTTCCACCTCTTGCGGAACGAGCTGATACAGGTGGATCTATAGAGAAAAGAAGAACACAGCATGATAGTCACAGAAAATTAAACTTCCAGAGTGAAAAAAATGCAATGAAAACTGAAGATTATAAAAAGATCAAAAGAATTTTTGGAAAACTGAAGTGACATCACAAAATACTAGCTTGGTGTTCAGCTTTCCAAAATTATATGCTATAAAAATTGAAAAGACTTCAATGTAATTTTCACTACTCACCTAAACGTTTATGCTGCTCCACACCAGTTTTCAAGTCAATTTTTTCCTGTTCTTCAAGAGAAAGCTCTGGATAGGAGGCAGCTTTTTTGTGCTTTCCACTACTGAGCTTCTTCTCTGACTGTCCAGCTGAGGATTTATTTACTTCTGAAACTTTGACTGTTGTTTTTGCAACATCCTTATATTGTGATGCAAGAGATACATTTGGGGCAACCACTTTATCACACATGTAAAGGTAGTAACTGAAACAGTAGAATTAAGAATGAAAGGTAAGGCATAATAAATGATGACTGGTAGAGAGCAGTAAGTTTAATTTAACGTGATTTCAAACTGTAAAAGCTTCAATGAAAAATAACCACAACCTTTTTCAATTTTTCCTATGCAAAAGGAAATCCTAATGACCCACTTAATCTTCACTGAGTAGATTATCCAGATAAGGTTTTGAGGCTATCAAACAAGAGGATTTTTCAAACATGGCTGATTAAAAAAAATCATACAGAAAATCATATGAAGTCTTCATTTAAATGCAAAGAGTGAAAGTAGAACGCCACTGAATCCAGACTATCTAGCATTTTCATAATCCTTATATTAGCAGCGGAGGATGGGGGAAGCGATCAGTGTAGTGAGAATGAGCATATCGCTCTTTAAATAGCAAAGCTGTGTCCTGACAGTGCTGGGGCATGTCTGAGACCAATGCTGGACCTTCTTTCCCACATATATTGACCAACCTGTCTGGACTTTCACAGCTCCGGGACTCCTGGGAGCATCCTTCTGTACCGCTCTAACCTAGCCACTCAGCTTTTGTCTAGTGCAGAGGGAAAAGAGTGCCAATTGTATTAAGGTCAGCGCCAAGATAATCAGCATTACAATGCTGGAGTTAACACTGCTGTCTTCAACACTTTCCTTTCTCCCAGTTCTGAAGGAAGGCACCGATAGAAACAGCAAACTGAGCAACCATCACAGAAGTTCCACCATTCACGTGTTTGTGTGGGAACTAGTTTGGTGCGCATGTGTTGCTTTGATGCATGCTGCTAGCCAAAAGAATCTGATCTCACCCATATATGGTAAACACGTAACCACATGGGGATGAGGGTAAGAGGTACATCAAGAAAAAACTGTTTCCCTCATTGATGCAGACGACAAACTTTGTACTATGTTAAGGAAATGCACTTGGTTTCTAAAACCAGGAAACTAATCAAACTAATCAACAGACAGTTCAGCCATAGCCATGGTTCCAGTGTGGAAGAAAGCCTTTAAATGCCTTTTACAAGTCTTTTTTGAAAAGAAATTAAGTTGCACTCATGGTAAATAGGCCCTATGCAGCTTTCCACACGCATGCGCTATACTATAATACAAAAGATTAAAAATTACCTTCTGTCATTTCTACTCTGAAAAGGAGAATTGTAATTACATTTCATTGTATTGCCTACTGAAGAACGCTCACAGATCGCAGCTTGAGTCCTGTACCAAAAACCACTCGTAAGCAGTTCATTTAATATTTACACTAAGAACTGCATAAAAAGTTCATGCTCCATTATGCCTGTGTGATCCCTTAGAGTTTTCCTAACAGCTCAGGTTGCAAGTACATTTTTTTCAGTCTGAATTATCTTTAAATAGCTAAAAGTATTTAAATACCTGTACATACAGTGTTTATAGGTCTACACAGGCAATTCAGTTACCTGGGATGGAAAAAGGAGGGTGGTTGAGGATCAGCTTCTGCTTCTTGCTTTATAACTGGATACCACTGCGATAATTCCAGGCTCTGCTGTGAATCTGCCTAAAGAAAAGGAAATAAATTGGTAACTGGAAGATAGGTATGTGTTATTTACATTTTCACAAATGCTCCTCAGTGGAATGGCATTTACACCACTAATACATACACACCAGAGAACCCGGGGTACTGGAAAATGGAGTGTCTTTGGCAGAGATGCAGGGTGATGCAAGCCGCAGAAGTTTCTTCTATCTCCCATTTCCCATTATGGGCAAAGTAGCAACGAAATTAAAAGGAAATCTCTTTACAAACCTACATAAAAGCTCTGCTGAGTTTCCAGAACTCTGCCAGAGGCATGCTAAAAATGTTTGGGAGAAACAGAAAGCAGAAACTAGAATTCCCAAAAGGTTGTAGGAGCCTTTTGCAATAAAGTATCTACATCGTAGTAAGCACTTGCCAGATACTTTATTACAAAATAAAACCTGTGAATAAAATGGTACAATTACTGGTGTTCCAGAGACAGAACTTTCTTCAGTTGTCACGAATTTTTATTGCAAAAGTGGGCAAAGCTGCTGCACTAGCATGACAACTCCATTTCCTTTGCAGTAACAAACAAAATTAATTCAGGAGCATCAGAATAGATCATCTTAAAAAAAACTTCTGTGCATTTTGTGTTTGGTTTGCAATTCTCGTTCTGTTTGTCTCAAGACATGTTTTTGGAATTACTCTTTAGTCAAAGTTACTGGTGATACTTGGTACTCCATGGCAAAGGTACTATTAATTTCAAGTGAAAGGTGTTTCATCATATATTTAAACAAGACTCGTAGCTAAGAAATGGATTCTTAATTTCATTGTATTAAAATAGCCCTGGGAAGCGGGTTTTTGGGTAAGGTGTGGTTGGTTGACCCCAGCCAGCAGCTCCCTCACCACCACCCCCAGGGGATGGGGACAAAAGCAAGACAGCTTATGGGTCAAGATAAAGACAGTTTAATAGATGAAAGAAAGAGAAAAAAAACAAGTGAAGCAAAGGATATCGCTCACCACCTCCCACAGGTAGACTGATGCCCAGCCAGTCTCCGAACAGCATCTGCCTTGGATGCCAAAACCCCCTTTCTTCCTCTTCTACCCCATTTTTTTCTGCTGACTGTGACATTATATGGTATGGAATATCTCCTTGGCCAATTTAGGCCATCTGTCCTGGCTGTGTCCCCTGCCAGCCTCTCACCCACCCCCAGCCTACTGCCTGCAGGGGCCAAGCGTGGAACACAGAAAGCATTGACGCTGCGGAAGCACTGTGCAGCGGCAGCCAAAACATCGGTGTGCTACCAACACTGTTTTAGCCACGAATCCAAAGCACAGCACCATACAGGCTGCTGTGAAGAACGTTAACACCATTCCAGCCAGAGCCAGTACCTTTGGAAAGTTGCTCAATTAAAAAAAAAAAAAAAAGCCTAAAAAAATCCTACTGTACCGAAAGCTTCATCCAGCATTCTAACATCTCCGCAATTTCTTGTGGACAAGATACATTATCAGAAAAGTTTATATTTACACACTCTGAAATAAACTGTCACAGAGCTTCATCTCTGGCAGTCAAGAGAGTACCCAATTACACGTGTGGCTTGTACCAAGGTCTGCAGAATCAAATCCCACTTGACCATGAGAGAGACCAAATCCCATCTACAATATTCTGGTCAAAACTTCCAGCCCACTAAATTCAGCTCCAGCAATGAAACTGAAATTGAACTCCACCCCTGCAGTTCCTTAAATCAGTTCCAACGCAGACAGAAAGGAGGGAGGATACAAGGAAGCTAAGGTCCAGAATAGTAAATTCATAATCAAGCCTTTAAAAAATAAAACTTGAAATACAGCAAATAATCTCTCAAAAAATGGCCTCATCCTGACACTTGTCAAGTTTCCTCTACTTATTCAGATCATTCTAATAATTTGAATAATGTACAAATATTCCCCTACTTATATTACAGCTAGTACACAGTAATCCAATTTTAACTTCTGAATCGCATCTTGTCCATACTTTAGGACTCACATTTTAACACGTTTATATATTTATGTATGGAATTATATATCAGGTAATCTGTATTTTCAAGTTAGCAGGTCAGATTTTTACATTCCCACCTATTTCAAATGGAAACTAACTGTACTGTCTACTCATTAACGTGCATTTTGCAAATGAATTACATAACATGCAACCAAATTTTTACTTAGGAAAAAAAATGAAAGGTAATCGTAAATAAACACGAAGTCTTTTTCCAACACAATTCCTCCCTCATTATCCAGGTTAATAAAATAGAGATAAAGCATCTACCTCAATATATACATGCATATTCCTTTACCTAACAATCTGTTTAGTTTAGATGCTCTTAAACAATTATATAAATGCAATAAAGTCAGGTACACTTAAAATTCATTGAATGACTTCTACCTAAACCGTTCGAAAAGGGTACCTGAAAAACAACTCTTATTTTTCTTCTGAAGCTAATTGTACAAAGCTGGTTTTTAAGGAAAAAAAATATATAGGTAAATAGTGGTTTCAGCCTAATCATTAAGCCACTAGTTTTAGCAGAGATTGGACTGATGAAAATACTCAGAAGAAACGTTAACTCTCCATATCGCGAGCTTTCCCCCACGCACAGTGATGAACTCAAGGAATTAGTCTGAGCCGCAAGACAAAGTTTTAGTGCAGAGCGATTATCAGAAACTGTCACAAAGTCAAAGAGAACGATAGACAAGACAACCTCAAAAATGCGTTGGCACTTCTGAGGACTGACTCGGCAAAGGTGGTGAAGGTGACAGAAGAGCGAATGGAACATCCTGCAAATAAATTTCCCTAGGAGTGTAAGAAAAGGGAATGTCTGCACATTGTACCCAACACCTCCTTCACACCTCAGAAATGAGGGAAAAAAAAGACAACTGAATTAGCCCAAGCTTCCCCAGGACAAGGAATCAGAGGCTGTGCTCCACCACTCCCCTATTAAACTCCCGTTGTTTTGGGGCTCAACCTCCTGGACTGCTCTTGCTGCTATTCTGAAATCCACCACAAAACAGGCAACATGGATATATCATCAAACCAGCAGCCATCAAACAGACGTCTAAATGCCAAATACACTGAAAAGAAACATAGTCATGGGGCAGGAACCTTTTAAAAACCTCCTAAGTTTAAATTATACCAAAATGTAACTTCTATGAACGGAAACATCTATGATGTTCAATATTTATCTGGTGCTTATTATTTAAAGTAGAAGCTCTCTAAGGGAAAAATAAGCTCTGTATTTTTGAACCACAGCACAGACTTGCAGCAGTATTTTAGCAAAAAATACGATGTCTATTATTAACCATTGTCAAGATACCGGCCTACAGCTCATTACTTGAGCTGCTTAAAACCCCCTCTTTTCAGTATATTTCTCTGTACAAGTGGTTTAAACAGAAAGCTATTGCTGAACAAGCAGACTTCGGGCTTCTAAATACCAATTTCCCAATGCACCGTTACCCTGCACGCAAAGCCATGAGCTGGGTGGTTAGCAAGCCAGGTCACCATACACCGCACGTGTGCGTGCTGGAGGAAAAATAACAAATGAAGAATTAATTTGTAATACTTGATTTTTGTAGTACTTGATTTTCAAGCTTTCTGCTTTGCCTAGCTGCTGAAACACACATAAACCGCATAAAACATACTCAAAGGTCAAACGGGAGAATGAAAATTTCCACAGTAGCTCTGAATTTTCCAGCGACTGTATACCTTAGAACAGAACAAGAAACAACAAAGCCAAACCAGCTCGAATGAAGTTACTTAGAGCCCAAAGAGGAAAGAAATTACCGCACCTTTTAATGAGAAATGTATTTTTCCACAGTGAAGCTCTCTCACAAAGTCAACTTAGGCTTGATTTGACAAGCATCCCACTTACAAAAGGCAAGCAAGGCGCTTCCAAAACAAGTATTTACGTGTGAGCAGAGATTTGGGAGTTTTACAAGAGTAGGTGAACTTACTTTGGACCGAGTTCTTTTCTGATTTTTCTCGCTAAATTTCTCCTTCATTTCCTCCAAGAGATGCTTCAGTTCCCGCTCCTCCGACGTTCCTAAGTATTTTTGGTTAATATGCAGGTAGCAGTGCCACTTGGCCGATTCAAATCCCCAGTGGCAGGTCCTCTTGTCTGGGGATCTGTGTGAATGCATCACAAAGGTCTGGGGGGAGAACATCCCGTAGCACTCCAAACACTGGATACACGGGTCATCCGGCGCAAGGTAGAACTGAGGTGCAAACAACCCCTGGCACTTGCCCAGGCATTCATGCTCTACTTCAAAGGCACTGCCAGTCTCCTTCAGTTGGGCCAAGGTGTTCTTACCAGGGAGAAACCCGCCATTTTGCGGAAAAGTGCGAGGACGTAGTAAAGCATTGCATAGTCTCTGAGCATCAGTCAGCGTAATTAGCCCACAGGACGGAGCATTAAATGGAAGAATTCCCAAAACCTTCAGAATATGAAGCTGGTCGGAAGTGCACCTGGAGCAGTATATATACAGTTCATCACACACCGTATTGATCTGTTGCAATGAAAAGTCTCGGAGAACGGAATTCAGCACTTGAGGCAAGCAAAGTCTTTTTTCCCCTCCGACTTTAAAACAAGAGATAGATTCCCCCTCCAGTATAGTCTGGGTGAGTTCTGTGGAGCTGTCCGGAGGAATGAGCAGCGGACCAGAAAGAATTTGCGGCGACGGAAGAGGCAAGAAGACAGTGGGTGACATACTTTCCTGGGAATAACGAGCTGAAAAAGCTGCCGGTCCACCCAGCGAACTCTGGCTGCTCAAGTGGAACTGTGCCAACGTGTGTTTCAAACCTGGATTTAAATTCAAAGGTTCAGATAGTGAAGCACTGTTTGGCTTGGCGGTTTCCCCATCAGCCTCCACAGGAGTTTCGTCATATTCGTCCAAGTTTTCCTTCTTTATTGTTGGCAATTTATTTATTACAACTCGTACTTTGCTATTTACATGCATTTCTGTCATTGCCTTTTTTAACGGAGGACTCCCATCCTCTTGGATCCCACTCCTTTTTTGGTCTGAAACTAGACCTAGAGGGAAGTTTATGTGCGGGCTTTCCATTGCTGAACACCAGAACTTTAATTAAGTAAGTCTTGAGTGTGCATTTTCCTGCTTGTTCATACAAAAAACTACTTCAAGTGATCTTGATTACCTCAGGCACGCCAAGTTTTGCACTCCTTTCAGTAAAATGCTACTTCTTCAGCCTCCAACAGTAAAAACTGTAACCCATTTTGCATGTAATACCATAAAATTAACAACGGAGAGGTTACACAATTTTTTCTTTTAGTTTTATAGTTATTTGTTCAATTTGCTCTCATAAAAAAACCGCTGCACTATGTATACAAAAGGCTCTTCTTCATACCCTACCCACTATTTTACACAGTAGTCTTGTACAGCAATTCAGTAGAAAACGATGAGTTGATGCAAGAGTGTCCATCCTTGATCATTTTTTTCCCTTTAAAAAATATACTGCCTTGTCAAATAAGTCTCTATTTAAATATCAAAATAGAAAAATGGTCTCAGTTCGAAGAACGCCGATCTTAATGCAACCGATCCAAAATTTAGTTTTAAGTTGTATGAAATTTTTATTCGGCGCTTTCAGTTCTTGGAGATCAAACAATCTTAAGGGCTTGCTTTATTGTGCTGCCAACTTTCCGATTTCACCACCGCCACGGGAGTTACTATGGCAGTTCACAAGTAAATCCCCAAATTAGAGGCTGATCCAGATCGCCGGCCAAAACTGAACGTCCCTAGAGAGTCACCTTTCGCCCAGATGTCACTGCTGTGTGTCAGAATTTTCCCACCCAGAGTTATTAGCAATAGAGGTGAGGTCCAGGCCATGGGCTAAATTCATGTCTTGTGCTACCAGAGTTCCGTCAGTCTTTCCAGACAACCTGCGAGAAGAGAAAGAGGTCGGTCATAAGCCGTCCCCAACCGGGGGTTTGCTCGGTCAGAGCAGGGATACGTTTCCCCCATGAATTACGAAACACCAGCGCGCAGGGAGAGCTCTCCTTT